AGGCGCCCGCCACAACGCCCGGCTATTTTTTGGTTGCAGCCATCATCGTTGTTTGGCGGGTCCGGGCTGGGGATTCGAACCCGACAGCTTAGGTGTACGTGGCTGGCGCCTTAGCCGGTTGAGCTATAGGCGCCGAGCCCCCAATTATTTTTATTAGAAATTTAAGGTAGCACCTGTGGCTCAGTGGCGAGGGTGACCAAGGGTGGCAAGTCCAAGCCCAGCCCCAGCCAAACTGCAACAAAAAATAGCTGGGTGCTGTGGCAGGCACCTATAGTTCCAGCTAAAAAGCCCAGGAATTGGAGGCTGCTGTGAGCTGTGATGCCACAGTAGCTGGGGCAGTCTAGCTACTTGGGAGGCTGATGCAAGAGAATCATAAGCCCAAGAGCTGGAGGTTGCTATGAGCTGTGACACCATAGCACTCTACAGAGGGCAACAAAGTGAAACTCTGTCTCAAAAAAAAAAAATTAATTTATACTATAATCCACCTTAAATAAAACTTTTTTTTCATTCTTTTTGCATACCAAGAAACACATAAAACTTTCCTAGTTTTAAGAAAATTCCTTCTGGGGGTGGCACCTGTTGCCATATACGACAAAGTGAAACTCTGTCTCAAAAAAAAAATTAATTTATACGATAATCCACCTTAAATAAAACTTTTTTTCATTCTTTTTGCATACCAAGAAATACATAAAACTTTCCTAGTTTTAAGAAAATTCCCTCTGGGGGTGGCACCTGTTGCTCAGTGGTTAGGGCACCAGCCCCATATACCGAGGTGGCGGGTCTGAACCTGGCCCCAGTCAAACTGCAACAAAAAATAGCTGGGTATTGTGGCAGGCACTTATAGTTCCAGCTAAAAAGCCCAAGAATTGGAGGCTGCTGTGAGCTGTAATGCCACGGCACTATACCAAGGGCGATAAAGTGAAGAGTCTGTCTCAAAAAAAAAAAGGAAAAAAAAAAGAAAATTCCTTCTAAGGATTCCTAAGTAGAATTTATTACTATCTATAATTCATTATTTATACACTTTAAAAATTATATTTAACCCATGTAAATACAAATGAAAATATAAACGTTAAGTTATCTATATGCCAGAAATTTTTTCTAAAAATGGGAAGAAGAGAAATGGTCACACCATTGCATATAGATAATGTAATAACATGCCGCCAATGACCCATAAGCATAAAAAACAACCAGCAGCCATTTCCATCAACTCACCGAAATATAGGGGTGTGGCCAGGCTTTGGTTTGCTCCATGTAAAGGGTGAAGGAACTGAAAGAAATTGGTCACCAGCTGAATCTTTCTTTAAAGTATACTGAGATCCAAGGCCATCATCTATTGAAGTCTCCCGGGAGGGTGATAAACTCCCTTGATCATCTGAACAGAGCTCTAATTTTCCTGGTAATATGGTAGCTTGATCTTCAGAAGTCTTCCTTGTTTTCAGAGGGATATCAGTCTCTACACAATACTGAAATGGAAAAAGTGCAGGGCCAAGGCCTGATCCACTATGGACAGAAGTATTGAGCCAGGTATCTTCTGTTACACTTCCCCTAGGGGAGTGACCAGGAGAAGGAACAGGTGAATGATGGGGTGAAAGAGACCCAGCATAACAAACTTCAGCACTGGAGTGCCGCCGCTTCCCACAAGGAGAAGTGGGCCTCGATGAAGGTCCTGAAGCTGGCCTGGGGCTCAACCAATTCTCATCAGTGATACTGGATCTAGGGGAGTGGCAAGGAGATTGCCTGGGTGACAAGGAGTGTCCAAGTCCATACTGTTGATGCCAAGATTCTTCTCCAGGGCAGCCTCCTGGAGAGCCACCAGGAGAAGTCAGAGGGGATCCAAGAGTAAACCGGGCTGCAGCTTCATTCAACTCAGAATCCACATCATCATAAATGTGTGAAAGAGATTCACAAGAAGACGCATCTGAGAACCAGCTCCTAGAAGAGATGCTGCTGGCAGGACTAGGACTAAGGGAAGACTCCCGGTAGGATGGCTCTAGAGGAAGATAGAGATGATCTCTAGAAGGCCTTTCTAAATATTCCCTTTCTGGATCATTTATGTGTGGGTCATCTTCATGTGCATCTATTTCTTGATGACAGTTTGGAGAGATAGATGTAATTTGAATACTTGGGCACTCAAAAGGTTTAGGACCACCTAATGGGCTATATTTAGATTCAGGAATCTCACAAGTTCCTTCATAATTTTTGTGACCTTGGAGCGGAAACGATGGAGACAAAACAGAAGAGTGAGACGTTAATCCATGATGTGGTAAGCAAAATGGTGAGTTTAAAGTAGATGGAGGTGGATCTACATTAAGGATGTAAATGGATGCACAATCATCTGGCTCAAGATCTATGGGGAGGAAGGCAAAAAGAAAAAATCAACAAAACAAGAAATTAGAAAAATTTAGAGGTATAAAATATTAGATGAAAAGCAAATAATAATAATCTTGAGAGAAAAAAGTGAAACATAAATGTACATCTCTTTAGTTTCATTAAAGAGATTTGGCTATTTCTGTAGATATATGTAATTATTACCTAGCACATAGTTATTTTTTCTTTATTTTCACATTTTCTAAAGTGATAATCAAAAACATTATAATCTAAAAACAATAAATGCTTTCATAAAAGAAATAATTAGATCCATAATTCTAAATAACATTCACAGAATTACAGAATGATATATAATACATAAATTGGGCCTCATTTGGAATTTGCAGGTTAAAATGAAGAATGAAACACAGTCTTCCAAAGGCTATTTTAGTTATGTGGGTACATGATAGCTTTCCTAAAAATAGGGATTACAAACTCAAATTCAAATGCTAGAATTTAGTCTACTTCTGCCATTAACTGTGACTCCTTAGTCATATCATTTACCTTCTTTAGGCCTCAGTTTCCTTCCAGTAAAATGCAAGATTTCTCTGTAAAAAAATTTTTTGTTTAAGTGTTTGAGACAGCATCTCCCTCTGTTGCTAGGGCTCGAGTTCAGTTGTATCATAGCTCACAGCAGCTTTGAAACAATCTGCCTGCCTCAGCCTTCCAAGTAGCTGGTACTACAAGCCCATAACACTATACCTGGATATTTTAAAATATATTTATATATATATTTTGAGACAGAGTCTCACTGTCACCCTGGGCAGAGTGCTGTAACATCAAAGCTCACAGCAATCTCAAACTCCTGGGCTCAAAAAAGTGATCCTCTTGCCTCAGCCTTCCAGGTAGCTGGGACTACAGGTGCCTGCCAAACGCCCAGTTATTTTTTAGAGACAGGGTCTCGCTCTTGCTCAGGCTGGTCTCAAATTTCTGAGCTTAAGCAATCCACCCGCCTCAGCCTCCCACAATAAGTAAGCTATTGTGCCCAGCCTTTAAAATACATTTTTTGCAGAGCCTGGGTCTTACTATGCCTGAGTCCTCACTGGTCTCCACTAGTCTCAAGTGATGCTCCTGCCTGGGCCTTCCAAAGTGCTGGATTAAAGGCATGAGTTACTGCACCCAGCCTCTTCAAAGTATTTATGATTAATATTGATAGTTCTTTTCTTCTATTACACATCATATCTTTGCTCACAGAAGACCAGGTTACAACAGCCATATGACACCTTCGTGTTCCCTTTACTTCAACAGAAAATAACTCATCTGAGCTTTTAATTTAGGACTGATCATTAAAGTAATCCTCACAAAGACAGAACTTTTAAAATGTGGCCCTTGTCGGAACATTTAACACTAAGCAAGCCCTGCCGATTACCTACTGAGAATGTTTGCAGCAATTAAGGGTATTTTGCCAACTTCACATTCAGGAAAGATTATTATCCATTTTCACAAAGGTAGGAGCACTAAACTCTAGTACAAGGTGCTGGTTAAACACTTTCACTTTTTCCAAGGAGATCATCACTGGGAAACCAAAGACAACATCATTCATAGATACAACAGAGAAAAGCATAAACCTTTAGTTTCTTCTCAAAAGTACTCAAGGAGATAATATTGTTTCATTACATTCATACCAATGGAAAATAACTTACACTTCTTTAGGTCCTGATGTTGCCGTCATTAGCTAATATTCTTTAACTTATTTCTATAAGCCCTGAATTTTGGAACTTTTAAGATTTGGAGAGGGGGGTAATTGATTTAGAAAATAATCAATGTTCTAAAAGTAACTGTAGTGATGGTTGCAAAATTCTGTGAATATACTTTTTAAAATCACCGAAATGGGCTTGGTGCCTGCGGCTCAAGTGGCTAAGGCACCAGCCACGTACACCCAAGGTGGCGGGTTCAAATCCAGCCCAGGCCCGCCAAGCAACAATGACGGCTGCAACCCAAAAAAATCAGCCAGGCTTTGTGGCAGACACCTGTAGTCCCAGCTACTTGGGAGGCTGAGGTAAGAGAATTACTTAATTCCAGGAGTTGGAGGTTGCTGTGAGATGTGATGCCACAACACTCTACCCAGGGTGACAGCTTAGGCTCTGTCTCAAAAAAAAAAAAAAAAAAAAAAGTAGAGATTGATTGAATCAGTAGTCAAAAATCTCCCAGGATCAGATGGCTTTAGTGGTGAATTCTACCAAATATTTAGAGAAGAATCAATGGCAATCCTCAAACTATTCCAAAAATATGTACATCAAGAGGACTGAACACTTCCAGACACATTCTATGAGGCCAGCATTTTCCTGACACTAAAGCAAGACAAAGATACCACAAAATCTATAGACCAATATGCCATTATGAATACAAACACAAAAATCCCTCCTAAAAAATACATACTAGGCTCGGTGCCTATAGCTCAACCCGCTAAGGCGCCAGCCACGTACACCTAAGGTGGCGGGTTCGAATCCCCAGCCCGGACCCG